CCCGCGCGATCGCAGGTCGCGGAACATCGACACTTGTTTTCTTGCAAAGGCCTTCGCGCCGTCGACTTCCTCCCAGGCCAATCCCATAACCACGCTTTCCACGCGTTCGTCCCATCGCGCCGCCTCGTAATCGAAGCTCGCAAGCACCCGATCATACTCCGCGGCGAGGATCTCGATTTCCTCGCCCCATCGCTTCGTTCGGGCGTATGCTTTGGACCACTCGATGCGCAAAGCTGCAAAGCTTTTAAATCAGCTTCAAGGCTTGATCAGGTAACCCGGAACGACGTACCGTCTTCCAAATCAGCGTCAACCCCCCCGATTCCGGCAACCGTCCATATCCAGGAAAGCTGGCGGCGATTCTCCGCGCCACGCTGTGCTGGACCCGCATCTACATCCATCGTGTCGGCGTCCTCGTCGTCCGCTTCCGCGGGCAGCATCCCGTGTTCCATCAACTCCCGTTTCCGCTTCAATCTCCTCGCCCGCTGCCGCTCCATCTTCTCCGCATTCTTCTCTAAATCCTCTTCGTCCTGCAAGCACTGAACGTCCGTCGCCTTCAACTGATGCCACCCCACCTCCCCTGGATTCCCCGTCGGGCTGAGCCGTCGCAACGCCTCCCAACTCATTTGGTATTTTTCTGAGTGGAGCCGAATCTTGATCTCGTTCCGTGTAACCAACCCTCTTGCGCGGGTATTCGCGCCCTGGTTCCGGGAGTGAAGGCCTTTGTGGACGAGCAGCCTTGACTTGACATAGAGTTGATTACGCAGTCGCACCAGCGCCTCGCCGCATTGCGCGTCCCGCATCTCCTCCTCAATCTCCGCCAACCCCGCGCCGCACGTCGCCCGCTGAGCCACGGTCAGCGACGATGGAAGCAAAAGCGGCATCGTCTCGACCGGCGCATCCTCCGCCAGCGTAAGCTCCCCCAGGACTTGCAGCGCCGTCGGTGTGTACGTTCCCTGCAACTTCCGGAAAACGGCTGATGCCCCGCTGCAAAGATGTGCGCAGGGCGATGAGGTCGATTTGCATCCCTGTGGTATTCGCCTTCTTCAATTCGACCTGCACGCGTACTCTGCGTCTAAACGAAACCCATCTCAATCAGCTCCAGGCACTCCCCGCAAACGAATCAAGCACTTACTGCTCTGCCTCCAGATCCAAGCCGCACGCGATAAACTTGCTGGGGGTCACGTCGTGCAAGGAGGGGAACGCCCTTCCTCACGTCCTCGGCCTCGACCTGGCTCCGTTTCAGACGCACATCCCCTTCGGTTTTGCCTTCATCGTAACCGTCAGAAGTGTCCCACTCGTCAAGCCAAGAAAGACCATACCTTTCATCTTCACCGCATACGGATTGTCCGCCTTCCCCGCAACAGAATCGGCGCCGAGCTCCAACTGCCTCTGCTCGAACGCGTCGACTCGCGCCTGCCAATTGGGGACGAAGGAGGCTTGTTCCGCGGAAAACGCGTCCAGAGCCTCCTTCTGCCGCGTGTACTCCTCCTTCGCACTGTCCATGCGACGGCGCAAAGTAGCCACTGTCAAGAAAACCGTTAATCAGAGATATTCAAACAGAACGGCAACCACGTACCGATGTCGATCAGCTTCTGCCAGTTCCAAGAACCCCACTGGGCGTCGAGTACACCGTGCCGTGCTCCCGGGCCCATTTCCCGCGTGCTCGACGCCAGTCCGCCGATACTAGCCCACGGCCGCTCGATCCCTTCCCCGTCGAGTTGTCCGGCGCCGCGTGTGATGTTCAAGGAGTAGAGCAGTCGACAGAGCTCCTTGTGGCCCAATATATGGAGCTTCGGGATGACGAATCGTAAAAGCTTCATCGTTAAGTCCAACCGTACGAGTGCGGGCATCTTCGCCATGCGCTCCTTCAAAAGCTTGTTCCAGGCGCAGACGATGTCGTATGAAGCCAATGTATGTTGGCGGGGATGCTTGTGCCTCATCACTGAGCCGAATATATAGTCCATATTAGCGAATCTAACGACGTTGTCAGTTCCAGATCACCGACAATATTTCTAGGAATATACCTCTCTCCTCGTTGCAAATCACCGACTCCGTTCGGCTGCACAAATTCGTGCCGAGCGCATACGCACATTCCCACCCCAGTCGAGCTATACCCACGCGAAAATTTGGTGTTCGCGTAATCCAAAGCGGCGAGGCCGCTGCAGCTGTTAATCTGTTGCAAAATCAGCGCGAGGTCATCTAGTTGACACCTTTACTCACCTCTTTCTGGTTCGTCACCGTGCGCAGGAATTCTCGATACGGCTCGTTCTCCACCATGTAGGCATACCCCGTCCCGAGGCCTGGGTCCTTGAGCTCGCTTGACACGAGCCGACGCTTTAGGCGGAAGCAGGCATCGATGCCGAGGTCCAGCGTAAATTTATATCTAGCGGGATCGGTCAGCACAAACGCACATACGCAGCAAACACGAAACATACTGTTGCTCGAGCGGGACGTTCTCCCAGTCGTCGTCGATATTCACCCCTGGACGCAGGCATGCTGGGCATTGGACAGCGCACTCCCCCGACTTGGTCCCTGCCGCGCCAGACGAGTCGTACGCCACTAATCGCCCAGCCTGGATGAGGAGCTCGAGATAAGCATGCTCGCGGCACATGCGTATCCATTCATGATACCGATCCGGGGGTTTCACCCCGGTGTTGTTGGTTAGCCTCTCCAGAGCCCGATACGCGTCGTACATCGTAGTCTTCGCCTGCAGTGTCGCCTCCCGGAATTGGTCGAGAAGGTCGATGGTGGCGCATGATCGAGGCTTGTCGTGCGTCGCGGGAAACCACCTCGCGCGCAGCAACTGGACTTCGGGCGGCCCAGCCTGCACGGCATTCTTACACCCGGCGCCGCAGAAATCCACCTGGACTTCGTGTATGCCGTTCGTATGCAACACGACAAAGTCCTTGTGCCCGCGCTCGGGCGCCTCGCACCGCTCACTGACTTGATGTCCCAGTTGGACGCGCAGGCCGAGGCTCGCTAGCGGGATTTTAGAGAATAACCCTGGGTGAATCCAGCGCTGGTACAATACGTCAACATACGGGACAACTTTCGGCACCAGAAGTACTCACATATACGCGGTGGAGAGGATTTTCGTGGTGCCGTGAGACGGCGCACGATTCGCAATAAAGGGCACCTCCATGGCAGTCCCGACATCGGATGCTCGGGCCCGCTTGACCGCATCCAGGGCAAGCATCGATGTTGGCGGTACCCCGGCCGTGGAGACGCACATACTCGCTCGCGAAGATATCGACCTTCGGTCGCCATTCGCTGAGTGATTTATCCTAAAGCACGTTAGAAACAAACCTGATTCTACAGAAAATCCCGCTCACGGACGGCTTAAAAGGTTTGACGACGTGGGGATCCCATTCGGACGCGTCTGGAGCGCCGTCGTCGCCAAAGGTGTCGCCCAAGTCGATACGATATCGTTCAAACGTGAAAGACTCGTCGCACGCGCCATGTGCGGCCTGCGCATCCCGCAAGCGTTGTCGCTCTTCATTCTGGCGCTTTACCGGGCTTGGGGGTTCAATATTGACTTGTTCCCGATGCACGCGTTTATTGTCGTGGCTGACGCGGTGGACGAACGTCTCGATTGGGGCATCGATCTCGGAGACCGGGGCAAACAGTATGCGGTTGAGTGGCGGCTCGTTGGAGGCTTGGGCGCGTAGTCGAGCACGAAAAGACATTTTTGAGCCACGGCGCGTCCCCAAAAAGGCAAGCGAAAGCGTGTTTGCTCCCGTTTGCCTGCAGCGTCATAGTCCCGCCAATCCAGGACAAACCCAGTCTACCGCAGCAATTTTCTCCGCGCACAATTCTCTCTGCCACTCTCTCCCATGGCGAAGCACACTGGGATGGTCTATCCGTCTCGCCCCCTCAGCGCCGACAACGACGGTGCTTTCGCTTGTTCTCTTCCCTTGCACACGCACCCAGCATTTAAAACCGTCGACGCACACGAAACAGACGGGCGCTCGCGTTGGTTGTTCCTCAAGCACCCAACCAACTCTGCTGCATTCACGGACTTGTGCGCCACTCCCTTAACTTCGCTCGTCCGAATCCGACTCACTCCCTCTCTCGCAGATCCTCTCTCAAAATTTACCTCGCCGATCTCCACGACCCCGCATTCCGATTTGAAGACCACGACGACCCCGAGAAGGTGGAGAAGCACAAACACATCATCGACCTTGCGCATGCGCATTACAAGTTCTGCATCACTCACCACGGTCACCACACGACCCCCGTCCAAACCGAGAACTCCATCCAATTGGTGCCGGAGCGCAACCTCCACCGCCTCGTATTCCACGACCCTTCCGGTCTGGATCCACGCCTGAAGTTCCCACGCGAGCAATACCGCATCGGCAAACTCTTCCCTTGCGACTACTACGCGGACGCTGCGCGCGGGATCTCCTCTTACGCGCCTTCTGACGCGCGGTCCGCGTCGAGCTCTTCCTGCGCGTCTCACGCGCCTACCGCATCATCCAGTGCTGCGTCCACTGAAGGGCCGTGGTTCCTCCTGTCCGACGGGCAGATCTGCCGCAATGCGTAAGTCGCTTGATTGATTTTTACTCCGGCCGACGCTGAGCCCATAGCAGAGACGAGGCCGAGCAGGCGCTGCGTGACGCGGTGGACGGTCCCCCCCTCAAAATCCGCCTCGTTGATACTCTGGCCGACGCTCAAAATTTGCGGAAGGCGCGCGAGAGCACGGGGGGTGGGTGATCGCGCCGCGTTTCATATCTCTGACTACCTACTAGCTTTGACTCATTTGCATATCTCTGACCGCTATCTTTGGCTACTCAAATCAAGAATTATGTACATTAGATCTCTGCGAAACCCGTTGAATAAACCTGTACCTTGTCTACTCAGTGTGATGTATCCAGCACCAAAGAGGTTAAGGCACACCTAGGCAGTCACACCTTCGCCTTCGTTTCCCTTAACCATAAAAACAAAAAGGACGCCTTAAGGAACATGGAAGAAAAAAGGGTTCCGAAAAATCGAAGTTTCTATGCCCACCGACGGGATTGAACCGTCTCTCTCTGATTACGAATCTCTACTCTCATCAACGGAGCCAGAGCGTACTACCATTGCACCATATGAGCACTGAGAGCATGTATATTAAATAAGTCTGGTGTCTGTCACGTATTCAATTGGTGCAATTTTTTTAAAAGACTTGGTGCGATGACTAAAGTGCAAGAAATTACAATTGTGAAGCGCAAGAAATTACAATGGTGGGTAGCGACATCCCTACTTTAAGCCAATCCTTTCCACTCCCTCCTCTTCTTCGACTCATTTTTGTGAAGGCGCCGGCACGTCGGATTCTCACAGCCACACATCCCCGGCGGGAGGTCGGCGTCCGAGTCCTCCCCGTTGTCCTCCTCCAGGCCACACCGACGCAGCGCCCTACAACGTTTCTGGTTCGCCGTCACCACCGCATTGGCGTCGTACGGAAGGAGCCGACCTGGCCAAGCGAAGCGCGGCCCAACATCCGTCTCGCGAGCGGGATTGTGGGTCGCAATTGGGGTGGAGGTCGCAGTCCGAGAGCGGGGTGTGCGCGGCGCGGGGGTTTTGTTGTGGAGGAAACTGGGGTCCGTGAACGGGATCAGATAGCCCGTGTTCGCAGGCGGGGTAATCTGGGGCGGCGCAGGTGCACGTTTGCTAGGGCGAGGCGGACGCAGCCCAGGCGGGATAATTTGGGGCGGCGAAGGCGCACGTTGGCGAGGGCGAGGCGCGCGCGGCACTGGGCCTTTGTGTTTGTTGTGCAGGAAACTGGGGTCCGTGAACGGGATAAGATAGCCCGCGTTCGCAGGCGCGGGGCGAGGCGGCGGAGAATGGATGGCCTTTTTGGGCTTGGTCGTGCGCTTCGCACTTGGGGCGGTGGTCGTGCGCTTCGCACTTGGGGCGGTGGTCTTTTTCTTAGCCTTCTTGGGACTGGCTGCGTTCTTTTTCTTCGCATCGTGGACACTGGTCGGGGCTACGGATCAGCAATACGACGGGAGCGCGTGGGCGGGATCTACCTTCCCTGTCGAGCAGCGTTGGCGGCCCGGATCTCATCCCGATGGCTGACATAGGAGTACCAGTGAGTACAGCGCTGACGAGGATGGCTGCGAGACACACCTCTCGCGGTACTGCGCGGCCCATGCGCGTGCCCTGCTGCGCGACTCCAAAACGCTCTCCTCTGTACTTTTCTCTTGCGCGCGAACACTGCCAGCCGTCATATCAAGTCGCCTAGAGAGCCAGGACAGGAGGGGTTTATACCGTTGCATTCTTGCGCGAGCGGCTTCGCGCAAAGTTTCGCGGTTCCTGGGACAGGACAATGGTCAGCATTGACTCTTTCGTGAGCAGCGGCAGACACGTACCTCTGAGCATATCGTTGCAGGGTGGCACGTCTGTTGGCGGCCTTGGTTTCAGCGTCGAGGGGAGTGCGACCCATTTATGTTACATGAAAGAGTGGACGAAAGGAACGGGCGAGACGATCAGTTCGCGATCGCAAGCATTAATTTTGGCTTGGGCGGGCTTCGACGAGGCTACCAAGCCCAGAAAAGATTCGTGGAGACGAGGAGGGTTCGCCCGGAGCGTGGACAGGTGTGAGGAGGAGAGAGCGCGGCGTTGGATTGGGGATGCACCCAAAGGTGCCAGTAGGCGGAAGGAAACCCCACTGCGGATTTTGATTGCGTTCGGATGGATTCTGGCACGCGAACGAGTTCGCGACATTTATCGACCAATCTTTTTTCTCCTCGCGTCACCCGGCCTCTAAAATTCGCAGAATATTGTGAGGGCAATGGGGTGACGTCCCGAATCACCACAAAAAAAAACGGGCTCAACGGCCCACGCACCGAAGCGATACAACGAATTTCTCCTGGAAGCCCAAATCGTCTCATTCGTCTCCAGTCACCTCCATTCGCCCCAACTGCCGCTGTCCCCAAATTTCAAGCGAAACCCGCGAGCGGTTGCCTCAATAGTGCTGCAAAAAGCATCATCAGCAGTCAGTTCGCGACAGATATGCCTGGGAACGAGTTCGCGATTCATATCGCGCGCTTTCTCAACGCCGCGTAGCTCACAAAGGCTCATTCAAGGCTCATTGAATAATCCCGCCTACGACTACAGAGACAAGCTACTTGCATTCAAGAACACCCACTACGACTACGACACGGATACCTCCCCACATGCATTGAAGAACATCGACTACGACTACGAGACGGACACCCAGCGATACGATAGGGCGATTTAGAGCTCACGCGGACAACGGCTCAGTCCACGAGTGGGATGCGCCTGCCGCGGCCCATCCGATCTTCTTCCATAGGGCGGAGCATGGCCGCCGAGGTTTCTATGACCTCGGCGTCGGCGAACCGGTACTGGCGCTTGGTGTATGGTTCCCCCTTCTCGCGCAGGCGTTTACTGGAGGACGAAGGGCTGTCAGAAAAAAACTGGGCCCAAAGATAAGCACGCACCCTTCCTGGGCCGATTTTCTGCTGGACTTGGCGCTGCGGGGTGCGCTTTTGGCTGACTTGAGGTTCTGGCGACCCTTGTTAGCGAGGAGACAACGAACCCACATGCGACAACGAACCCTAGTCAATTGTGCAAGTTGGTACGCCTCAAGATCGCTTTTTTTGGCCGCGAGTCCCGCGACGCGCGCCATGATCATTCGCGCATGTTTCGATGGGCCCGGCCCGCCCGCGAGAGGAGTGTGCGGCGAACATCCGCTCGACCCCATGATGACGATCGGCTTGGGACATGCGACGTGCGGCTCGGTGGACGGTTGGGCGAGGAGGCTGCCGTCGTTCTGCACGACGCTGATAATTGGCACGCTGCGACCGGGGACGAAGGTGATGAGCGGGCTTTGCTGCTGTCCAGGTGCGAGTTCGAGATGCGGTCGCTTCGCCACCTCTTCGCGTTCTTTCCTTTTTTTCTTTCGCTCATGAAACTCTTTCCACCAGGACGCGCTGCGAATGATCTCGAAGTCGCGGGGGGGTGGTGCAGGCATCGTCCTGAGTGAGGATGTTCAGGCAGGAGTGGGGAAATAGACGGAACGCTGGACTTTGGGGCACAGAGCGGATTGGGCGCAGACGGAGAGCAAGGTGCAAAGTGCGGAAGCCGTCGCGGGTCTTATGTACTCAACCTTCTTGTACGGCGTCTGGCGCATCGAATTAATCTGTTCGCGTTTTGTTCGCGTTTGTCTTACATATGGTATGTTCCGGCGTAAAATTGAGTCAAGAAAAGCATTGGATTCAGAGTAAAGATGGGGAGGTGTACAAGCAAGGGAAGGGGGGGGACTAGGAATGTGCGTTGGGACGAGGTAGGTGTACATGATGGAACGTGTAGACTAGGGATTTAGAGGACGCGGGAGGGGTAGTAGATTTTGTAAAAAAAGTCCGATGTACGGTCTATGGAAATGCGTGGTCAGAGATGGCGCGGACTGAGGAGGAGGCACGTACTTTGCCGGGTTCAGTTGCCCTGATGGGCTCGCATGACGCGCTTGTGCTGGAACCAAGCCCGGATTTTCTATGTGGGGAGTGTGAGCGAAGAGAGATCCCGGAAGGGGAGGAAAAGGCGTACAGAGTGAGTTTGAATTTGGACGAGGGTGCGCCTGTCCAACTCATCGTTCGTGAGGGGGGCAGGGTCAACAGGCATCGTGGGGTAGGGGTCGATGTGGATCGGCAGGGGCAACGGAAACTGGAGCCAGTAAGAGTGGAACGTCGAACGCCAGAAGGCGGGGAGGGTGCCATGGGCAACGGCCTGGAAAAAGTCGTCGAGCAAGGCGGTCATGAAGGCGATGCGCTCGATGGAGAAGGAGCGGCGGAGGACCGTGCGTTTATGGGCGAAGAAATGTTGCGTGAGGATGGTTTGGCCGCCGTTGCCGCCGTGGTGTGGCAAGAAGATGGTTTGGTCGCCATTGTGTGGCGTGAGGGACGACGAAGACGAGGACATGGTGAGCGGGGTCTGTCGGTTGGGCGTTATTGTGGGGTGGGACGGAGCGCATCGGGCTGCACCATTTTATTGGCATTTGTGTAGGAGACGGTGTATGTACATTATGGAAACGCGCCTGCGCGGCGGTTTGTTTTGACGACAGGATTGATTAATCAAGAGGAAGAAGGCGGCGGGAAACCTGCGGATAATTCAGGGCATGTCGCGGCAGAAGAAGGGAAAACGTACGAGACGTGTCGCCTTGCGCTTCGAGCGCACAAGCCAAAATACGCAACGCGTGGAGGCGGCGCTGGTAGTCGCACAGCGCTTGGGGGTTGTTGAAGTACCACGACTGTTCGAGGACGTCCACGCTAACGATGTGCACCGCAGACCAGACCTCGACGGCTGAGCGGTAACTTCGCCGTTCCCATATCGCCTCGATGCCCCCCACGGTGTCGCCGAAGATAAGGTACACGCGGAACCGATTAGTCTGGCCGAGAGCATCCGCGAGATCGGGCTGGATTTCGAGTGGGTTGGGCCTGCACACGTTCGGGTCAGGAAAATTCTGGGGGAATAAAAACCGCCTACATGCTGGAGCGCGGGCAGGCTTGAGGCGTTCGCAGACAGGGGCAGGGAGAATATATGGGCGGGGCATGTTCTTTGTGGCAACGGAAGTGGACAGGGAGACGTCTTCGCTCGCTGGCAGGGGCGGATGTTGGTAAAACGGCGGCAGACGAAGTTTTGGACAGACGGAGTTTGGACTGAAGAGGTAGAGCCAGAGATTGCAATAGGTGAGGACGATAGAGGCACAGAACAGAGCGAGCCAGGCGAGGAGAGGAGCCAATACCCCGCCTGGGGCTCAAGTGGAATTCAGTTGCGCAGGAGAAGGCGGAAGCACAGAGGAAACGTGGGAGCAGATGTACGTAATGTCCCATTCAGGAAATCTCAAACGCCGGCAGTTGGCTCTTGACTTTTTCTTATATGCCTGGCCGCAATCCGCAATCCTTGCACGAATCGCCCATCCCACTATGTTTCTTCGCAAACCAAACCCTCCCGGCACTCGACCCACTTGCTCTATGCCTTACTACCCTTGCCCGGAAATCAACACCGAGCTGCACTCGGACTCCGCCGACAAGTTTTTCTACGTCGTGGAGCGTGGATTTGTTGTGGGGACGTACACCGACCCGTAAGTTTCGGG